AAAATGTTATATTCATTATTTATTTTAATGAACGATACCTCATTTTTTTCCTTGAGCTTGGTGATCATAACAATAACAGGAACATCTTCTTGCCAAACCATTTGCCAGAAGTCATTTACTGTGTTAATCATTGGTCCTTGTGTAGCAATAAAGGTCTTCTCCGTTCCACCATAACCCTGCAGTAAATCAGAAAGCTTGTATTTACTTGTATAGTGGATATACTCTATAACAGTGTTGTTTTTACATAAAGAGAAACTCCAGTAAGAGGATAGAAGCCATTAGCGTCTAACATGCTTTATCCATAAATATGTAGAGGTCCATGCTTTCAACATCTTTGCACTCCTATTGACAGTCAGATTTTAAAAGAGTAAACAGGTGGCGCACACACCTAGTACATTATCCAAGGTTTATTCAAACATATAAAAGACAAAAACATACTCGCAGACAAAGCATGTATTAAGAGCATTTGCATAATGAAGATGGCCACAATGGCAGGCAAGGTGTTCCAACTGTCAGTGCGGTCAAGAGGCTGACACGTTTCGGGGACAAGTCCCTTTCCTCAGAGCAGCTCTACATAGAAACCAATCAGCTTCCAGGTTTTACTGTCAAGCTTAACCACTTGTCCTCCACCCTATAGCAGACGTACTGCTACAGGGCGGCGTGGCTGCACAAAATCACGTATATATATCAATCATCGGGCCCGGCCGGCATTTCCCAGCTGGCACTCGGCGATTGTCGGCAAAGCTGACAGGGGAGAGACCTGTGTGTAAACAACACAGGTCTCTCTCCTGTTCAGCATGGACATGCTGCTCTGTATGTCTCTGCACAGCATGTCTCCAAAGCAAAAACACACACACAGCACACAGTTAACCCTTTGATCACCCCAGATGTTAGCCTCTTCCTGCCCAGTGTCATTAGTACAGAGTCAGTGCATTTTATTAGCACTGATCACTGTATTAGTGTCATTGGGATGTCAGTGGCAGTTAGTCAGTTGCCACCCTAGGTTGGAAAGCCCCACAGTCCCGCAGTCCCACTATAAGTCGCTGATTGCCGCCATTACTAGTATAACAAAAAAAAAAAAATTCTAGTATAAATACCGCCATTTGTAGACGTTATAACTTTCACGCAAACCAATTAATATACAAATTATTGGGATCTTTTTTTAGCAAATACATGGAGCAGAATACATTTTGGCCTAAATTTATGAAGACATTTTATTTTTAAAATTTTTATTGGATATGTTTTATAGCAAAAATTTAAAAATATAATTTTTTTTTTCAAAATTGTCGGCCTTTTTTTGTTTAAAGTGTAAAAAATTAAAACGCAAAGGTGATCAAATACCACTGAAAGAAAGCTATATTTGTGGGAAAAAACGGCAAAATGAATTTATGTACGGCATTGCATGACCGCGCAATTGTCAGTTAAAGTAACGCAGCGCAGAATCTCAAAAAAATGGCCCGGTCAGGAAGGGCGGCAAATTTTCAGGAGGGCAAGTGGTTAATTTAAGCTGAAGTTAGAAGCTGATTGGCTACCATGCAGAGCTGCACCAGGTTTTGCACTCTCCAGTTTTAGTAAATCAACCGCAATGTGACAATATTTAGGCCTCATGCACACTGCAGTTAAAAAATGCCCATTTTACAGGCGTTTTAATTTTATTTTCCTCTGCCTCTAAACGTCCCTCAATGTTAGTCTATCTGTGCATGCACACATAGGCGTTTACAGGTGTTTAGAAGCAGGATCATTTAGAGGTAGAAAAAAAACCCCTTCATTTTAGTGTCCTGAAGAGGAGTCTTTGGGAATGAAAAAAAGCGCATAAACACGCATAATAAATTAATATTCTGAGCAACAGAATGCATTGATACTAAACATGTGAACACGCATATATACACATGAACGCGCATAAAAGTGCATGCACAAATGGCGTTTACCATGCTTTTCAAGCTGCTTTCCTCCTAAGCAGGGGCAGACTGACAACTCATGGGGCCCCCGGGCAATAGGGGATCATGGGGCCCCTGTGTCCTTGCCCAAACTCAAAAAAGCCTATGAAAAAGGTACCAGGGGCATCTCATGGGGCCCCCTACTGATCCCGGGCCCTCCGGCAGTGCCCAAGTTTCCAAATGGTCAGTCCACCCTTGCTCCTAGGTGTCCTTTGGTGTACAGTGTGCATAGAGCTTTAAAGCGGAACTTTACTCAGCAAAATGACTAGGAGTCTCTGGCTCTGTCCTCACCCCACAGTAATAATATTTTTTTTCCAAGAGGGGCTAGTTCTTTTGCTTTTCTTTTTTTTTTTAATACCTATCCCCTGCTGCCCTTATGGCCTAGGCCAGAATTACATGTCATGCTCACAGCTGTCCCTGGGGTAGCCTCGAGACATATCCCAGGAGGCAACAGGAGCACATTCATAGAATGACAGTGGGGGTGGAGCTGCACGTCATTGAGAGACTATGGGATTTGTGTGTGCATAGAGCAGCTCACATGACTGCAACTAAAGTACACTGTTCACTCCAAGCAAATGGAAATGAGGGGGAAAAGCAGAGGTTTGGGAGCTCACAGAGGACATAACAAGGAAGCAGAAAAGTGGGTTTCCTCCGGGTACTCCGGTTTCCTCCCACACTCCAAAGACATGCTGGTAGGTGAATTGGATCCTGTCTAAATTGGCCCTAGTATGTGTATGTATGAATGTGAGTTAGGAACCTTAGATTGTACACCCCTTGACGGTTAGGGACTGATGTGAATGTACAATATATATGTAAAGCGCTACATAAATTGACGACGCTATATAAGTACCTGAAATAAATAAATAAAGCACATTAAGAAAGGATTGCATGAAAAATAGATTACAGAGCCAATAGGTAGTGGATGTGTATGGATCATTTTTGAACACTGGAATATTAGTGTTGTTTTAATAGTATGCTTTCCATGAAAAAGCTTAAATCAGGCAACATAAAATGTTACATTTGAGTATCTCTCAGAATCCCAATATCCAAAATTATGACACATATAAATGCCTTCCCTTCCCCCATCCGCCAAAACATAGCAATACCTCTGTAAAGCTGTGCCCAATTTAATACAAGGCTCGTCACTGACAAAAAATAAACATTTCAACGATTTTTTACCAAGATGAGGATACCAGGAGCATGAACCAGCAGCACTTACCCTGATAAAATTAGCATTTATATAGGTGTTCAATGTATCTTTCACATTCTTTGGTTTCAAACACACTCTACTTACTGGATCTAAGGAAGCAAAGAACAGGAGAGAGAATGCATAGTTAGAAAGTCAATATAATCAAATGCAACATATATAACGTATGCAGTTATCATTTTTCATACAGATTGTAGGTAATATTCTCCAGTTTAAATCACATTTTTCTTATTTTTGACTATGAATGGAAGGTATATTTTCCTTGTATCACTGACACATGCACTTTATTGTAAAAGTGTAGCACAAAATGACTCTCAAAAACTGAAACAGCAAAGCTAAATGAAAAACTAAATGAAAGAAATGAAAAACTAAATGAACATATATCAAAAGCCAAGTTTCAGATTTCAGTTTCAGAAGGTGGGAAGGGTTAGAACCCCTGCTAAGTTGTTCTAACTGTGTGGGGAAGTTTTACCCACTTTCTTTTTTTGGTGATCAATACCTGTGGGACAGGAAGTGATAGGAAATCAAAAATGCCACAGTTGTCCCTCTCGCAGCACTATTGTGTTCTTCCCTGCCAGAAGAACACAATGATCACTGCTGGGGGCTATAGCTGCTGGCAGCAATTACATGCAAAAAATATGACAGGCTGTTTGTACTGAAGTTGATTGAAGGATTGACTTCAGTATAACCAGCCTTCCCATAGATGCATTGAATCTCAGCCAGTCCCTGTTGAGCTGGCCAAGATTTGATCCATCTATGGCCAGCTTAAGGCCTCATTGACACAAGTGTACCATTCTATATGCTCATGCAAAGGGCTGTCTTCAGCTGCCTGGATGCACAGGTGTTCCAGATAGGGACATGCAGGCAGTCTGTTGATATCCATGACAGGTGGCTGGCTACACAGATCTCCACGTACATCCCATAGTGTACATCCGTGTGGGTCCAGTGCACTGATCAGAACCAAAACCATTTTAAAAAATAAGACTGGCTATAGATAACACTTGAAGAGATGCCCTAAGGCAGGGCTGGGCAACTGTGGCCCTCCAGCTGTTGTAGAACTACAAGTCCCATGAGGCAATGCAAAACTGACAGCATGACTCCCAAAGGCAGAGGCATGATGGGACTTGTAGTGCACCAACAGCTGGAGGGCCACAGTTGCCCACCCCTGCCCTAAGGCAAATATCTGGTAATCCTAGTTTTTATTTCTAGGAAAGAAGAATTGTCGGCCAAAATTTGAGCTGTGAAGTGGCCCTGCAAGCACCAACCAGCTTAATAAAAGTCGATTTAAAAATCAACTAGGCCAGGTGGAAAATGATTGGTGGAAGAATGACTGTGTTCTATTAGATGTAGTCACTGTTCAGAAAGCAGCCACAGCACTGTGCATACAACATGTGCAGATGCAGAGCGGGAAATATTTTGACAGCTTTCCAGCGCAATAGCTCAGGAGGGTTCGGACTTGTGTCCAAACATGCCTGAGCTCATCACTGATACGCTGCCTAAGAAACTGTTCTTTCTGAATTTGTGCAGATGTTGCTGAGCAAGCAGTGTTGGAGGGTATGCAGTTTTGAGACCTCTAAGGCAGGCCATACATGGGTCGAATTCCAAACTAATTTTCTTTAGAAAATCGGAAATGTAGTGCAATTTGTAATCAGATGGCACCACCATTGATTTTGAAATTCGACCAAGCAAGCCTTTAACCACCTCCCGCCCGCCCGCCATATAGTAATATGACAGACGCAAGGTGGTTCTCTCGTTCTGGGAGGACGTCATATGACGTCCTCCCATTTCTCACTGCGCATGCGTGGCTCCAGCTCCCTTGGACACAGCGGATCTCCGATCACGGAAAGAGCCAAAGATGTCAGCTCGGTCATGTGATCAGCTGTGCCCAATCACAGCTGATCACATGTAAACAGGGAAATGCCGGTTATCGGCATTTCTCTCCTCTCGAGCTGTCACGCTGACAGCTCGTGAGGAAAGGAGAGCCGGTAATCAGCTTGCCGCAAAGGGACATGTACACTGATCATCAGGGCACTGATGATCAGTGTAGCCCCAGCAGCGCCACCTGTCAGTGTCCATCAGCGCCTTGTGTCAGTGCTCATCAGTGCCTCGTGCCAGTGCCCATCAGTGCCACATCAATGCCACATATCAGTGCCCATCTGAGCTGCCTTTCAGTGTCACCCATCAGTGGCAGTCAGTGCCACCTATCAATTCCAATCAGTGTCACCTATCAGTGCCGCATATCAGTGCCAGTCAGTGCCGCCTATCAGTGCGTATCAGTGCTGCCTATCAGTGCCTGTCAGTGCCGCCAATCAGTGCCAGTCAGTGCCGCCTAACAGTGCCAGTCAGTGCCGCCTATCAGTGCCAGTCAGTGCCGTATATCAGTGCTGCCTATCAGTGCTGCCTTTCAGTGCCCACCAGTGATGCCTGTCAATGCCCATCAGTGTCACCTACCAGTGCCTCCTCATCAGTGCCCATCAGTGCCACCTATCAGTGTCCATCAGTGCAGCCTATCAGTGCACATCAGTGAAGGAGAAAAATCACTTATTTACAAAATTTTATAACAAAAACTAAGAAAAAACTTTTTTTTTCCAAAATTTTTAGTGGTTTTTGGTTTGTTTAAGAAAAAATAAAAAACCCAGAGGTGATTAAATACCACCAAAATAAAGCTCTAGATGTCACAAAAAAGTGATAAAAATTTCATATGGGTAGAGTGTTTTCTGACCACGCAATTGTCATTCAAAGTGCGACAGCGCTGAAAGCTGGAAATTGGCCTGGGCAGGAAGGGGGTATACGTGCCCTGTAGGCTAGTGGTTAATTTCAACTCAAGTTGCTACAGAAAATAATTTTTGTGGCCAATAGTTTCTTTTCTTTCCAGGTCACAGCTCATTTGTTTTTTGATTACGTTTTCCGCACTATTCTCCCATCATTGATTAGAAATTCGTTCATTTTTCAAAAAATTTCCAACATGCCCAATCGCTCAAATTTGATGGTCTCCCAAAAATTGCCCCTTGCTGTGGCCCACTAATGGTGTGGAATTTCTTAGAAAAGATTTTCGAAAGAAAATTCTTTCAGAATTCAACCAATGGCAGGGCAGGGCAGCACAGTGGCTAAATGGTTAGCACTTCCGCCTGGCAGTACTAGGGTCACTGGTTCGAATCCCAAACCTGGCACCACTTGCCTGGAGTTTGCATGTTCTCCCTGTGACTGTGTGGGTTTCCTCCGGGTACTCCGGTTTCCTCCCACACTCCAAAGACATGCTGGTAGGTTAATTGGATCCTGTCTAAATTGGCCCTAGTATGTGTATGTATGAATGTAAGTTAGGGACCTTAGATTGTACACTCCTTGAGGGTTAGGGATTGATGTGAATGTACAATATATATATGTAAAGCGCTGCGTAAATTGATGGCGCTATATAAGTACCTGAAATAAATAAAATGTATGGCCGGCTTTAATTACATTTCCTCTCGAGGCCAGGATTTTGGCCCTGCGTAGTTCCTGGAAGCTGCAGGAGACCCAGACACTGACATACTGGGGTTGTTTAATAAAGGCAAATAGATTGTTGCACTTTGCAAAGTAATTTTACCCAGAGCTTAGTGAATGGGTTGAAACCAGGGGTGGACTGACAACTCATGGGGCCCCCGGGCAATAAGGGATCATGGGGCCCCTGTGTCCTCATCCACACCCAAAAAAGCCTATGAAAAAGCCAATGAAAGGTACCAGGGGCATCTCATGGGGCCCCCTACTGACCCTGGGCCCTTGGGCAGTGCCCGAGTGCTCGAATGGTCAGTCCGCCCCTGGTTGAAACTCTACTGACTTCCATCATCCAATCATGTGCAAGAAAGTATTACTGTTTTTTTTTTCATTTTCCATGCATGGTATTGGGTATTTTTTGAATAGTGAAATTTCACCACATTTAATAAACTTTAGGGAAAATTCCCTTGCAAAACTAAACTTCCCATTTAAGTGAACAGCCTGTTTGCCCAACCCATTGTCTGAATGTATCTAATTAGTAAATGGCTACAAATAAAATTGTTTTTTTTAAAAAATATAACATATTATGTAATCTAGACAGAAATAATTTACAAAACCTATAAACAAATCATTCATCATACAATGGAAGCTAGTCCACTACAAGCAGACAAGCTGGTGAAACAGTGACCTCTGCTGGCTACAGTCAGCTAACATCAAAGGCACAAGATTACTTTGCTCTTGACTCTATAGACTTGTATACAGATGGAACAGGCAAATTGCATATAAATATAATGAAAAGTCTCTATCTGCCTGCTTATTTTTCTATGTCCCCTTTTACCCATGAAACTAAAAAGGAAAAGCCTATTTAGGGTATATAGTGCATACTGTTCACATAATATAACAAAGTGCACCAAACAGGCATGTTTCAATGCCTGAAATCTTCATGGACACTGTGGGGGAGATTTACTAAAACTGGTGACTGCAAAATCTCGTGCTGCTCTGCACAGATATTACTAAAATATGGACGGCGCCATTAGAAAACAATAAAAAAGGAAGAAAAAACTACAAAAGAACAAAAATGTTTAAAAATATATATGACCAAAAAGAGGAATAGCAGCTATCTAATCCTTGAAACCAAGGTGATAGTGGGATAATTAATCAATTAGAACAGTGCTCCTCACTAATAATATATCTCTTCGTGCAACCAAAAAAGTAAGCTTCAATATTAGTGCAAACAAAGGAAAATCAATCAATAAATAAATACATTAGTGCAACTAAAAAAAGTGAATGTAAATCAATATACCGTAAACTAATCAATTCATAAATAAATCAGTGTCCAAAAAATGTCCATAAAAATATATATAGTGAAAAGTAAATATATATACATATATATATCTATATATATGTATATATATCTATAGATATAGATATCTATATCTATAGATATATATATATTCCCCAGAATTTCTTCTTATTAAACCTTCTGTATTGTGTAAAACCCAAAACCACATGAAATCCATTACCAAACGGATTGAATAAACTCACCAGAGCTCCATGCTGGTAAAATTATAAACCAGCTAAAAGCGCTTTTGCTCTGGGAGCAACGATCTGCAGAGGCACACGCTGACTATTGCAACTCCTTACTTGGATCTTCATACATTCAAATGGGACCATAAAGGAAAGGAAGAGGAATCTACATAGCATAAAACCATCCAGGCATTTTGTTATGTTAAAAGCTTCAGATTACACTCACATTGAAAAATGTCAAAGCTGACACTAGCATACATCACATAAAAATGATAATAGGTTTGCTCCGGTCATGACTGGACATCGGCAGCTCACCCATACATGGTGACGTGAACTACAAAGCCCCTCCCTACGTGTTTCGTCCTCTGACATCCTCCAGGAGCTCTGCCACGTATGGGTGAGCTGCCGATGTCAGTTCTAGACCTTTTCAATGTGAGTGTAATCTGAAGCTTTTAACATAATAAAATGCCTGGATGGTTTTATGCTATGTAGATTCCTCTTCCTTTCCTTTATGGTCCCATTTGAGTGTATGAAAATCCAAGTAAGGAGTTGCAATAGTCAGCGTGTGCCTCTGCAGATTGTTGCTCTCAGAGCCAAAGTGCTTTTATCTGGTTATAATTTTACCGGCATGGAGCTCTGGTGAGTTTATTCAATTTGTTTGGTAGAGGATTCATGTGGTTTTGGGTTTACACAACACTGAAGGTTTAATAAGAAGAAATTTATAAATATTTACTTTTCACTATATATATTTTTATGGACATTTTTGGACACTGATTTATTTATGAATATTGATTTATTTATATTGATTTACATAGTCACTTGGTCACTTTTTTATGCATGATTTATGAATTTCTTTAGTTGCACTAATGTATTTATTTATTTATTGATTTTCCTTTGTTTGCACTAATATTGATGCTTACTTTTTTGGTTGCTCGAAGAGGTATTTTATTAGTGAGTACCGCTGTTCTAATTGATTAATTATCCCACTGCTCTGCACAAAAACTGAGCACTTCCAAATTTTTCTTTCCAAGGCTTAAAGTGTTACTAAACCCACAACAGTAAAATCAGTCTGTATATACAGTAAAAGCATGCTTGTTATACTCACTGTGGAACCCTAAGGGATTAATCCTCTGCATTGTGTAAAAGCACTGTTTGATCCTGACTTCTCTGATCCTCCCCTTTTTCCAGTGTCCCCCTCTTATCTCCTGATATTGTGTGGAGTCCCTCTGCACATGCTCAGTTTAGTGTGTATTGCTAGAGAGGGTTTTCTTTTTCTTGGGAGAGTGCATGTGATCAGCACAGTGCCAATCAGCACCGTCCAGACAGAGGTCAGGGGTCCTGCATCCTCCGAGAGCAAAGTACAAACTCCTGCTACAAACTTTAACATGAGCTAGGCTAGAAACTGACAGAAGTCACAAGACTGCTCTAACTGCTGATGAGAAAAGGTATTTAGCAGGTTATATTTATGAAATAATGTAATTCCCATGGTCTATGTACTGTGGGAGACCAGATATAATGAATGCAGGGTCCTGGGTTTAGTAACACTTTAATTGAACAAGATGAAGTAAAAAGTTGATTGGCTAACATCCACAGCTGCACCAGATTCTGAGTGCAGCAGTTTTAGTAAATAACCCCCTGTGCATCAGTAACAATCACAATGATTTTACCTGTTTGCTTTCCTTATGTATTTCTTAATAAAACAGAGCAATTAAAGTAGATATAAACCTTAACCTCTTTATCTCTTTTTGCATCAAAGAGCTGCTGATCTCCTGCAACCTATTTGCAGCCACGTTATGCCCACATGCAAGTGCTCCAATGGCAGCTGAGTTTTCATGGTGGGTTTCCAGATGGTGGCAACAGTGAAGCTTGCCTGTGCAATGAACCTCAGCACAGCCGCCTATAGTCTCCACCGGAAGTGCAGGAGACAGGGTGACAACACAGGAGAACAATTGGGAGACAGTGACACAATTCTGTCATTCTATAAAAGGAAGTACCAGAAAAAGGAACTTCATGGCAGTATCACCAGGTATTATTTGAATGGAAACTACAGATATATAAACATTGATAATAACTTTAAAATTACATTAACATAATGATTATAATGGGTTTTAGTTATTGGGTTTACATCTATGTAAATAAAAAACCTGCTCTGTCCAAATGTCCCCCAATCTGCTATTTCTTCTATGTCTATTTTAGATATTCTTTTTAAATAAGGCAAATTTTCCCAAATCTATACAAACACACTTAAGGTCCATGTATAAAACAAATTGCTGTGCAGAAATCTTAAGTATTCTCAGAGGTGTAACAA